TAAAATACAAACAAATGCATTTAGGCGCCAAGTATATACGCAAAAAGTTTCACGGTAAAATAAATATTTATAGTAAATAAATTATGGACTATATTGCACTAGAGAGAATACACTACAGTCTTGAATGTACTAGAGTCTTGAACTGTCAGCGATCTGTAGGTGTTGCATCACGCCGCCTGGTGCATGTGAATACAAGTGTTCAATATTTCAACGAACAAATGTAGTTACATGATCATGAGATAAATCAGTTTATGCTTTAACTAAATCGCCTTGTTGAACATTATTCTGTACAAAAATGTGATCGTCATCAGATTACTTTGTTTATGTCCTAATCGTTTCTTTTGCATCGTCGTATCGAAGAAAATGATCAAATATTGTGAAAAATTATCAGGCTATTTGCTTTAGCACCATCATCAGGAAATGCAGTATATAGGTGCCGACATGACCGTAAGTACAACATGACCGTACGCGTGTACATGACAAGTGTTAACATATGCATTGACATACGCTTACATTAACTATAGTCAGGGATGATAATAAATTCATGTATGCGGGTTTAGTCACTTATGAATTACGCAATTACCCAATAGCTTAAGAGTTTATCCATTTGAAGTTCAGCCAAAATTGAGAATATTTTCAGATATGTGGATTCAGTCATTGTTTAATTGTAAAATTAACCATTAACTTTCGCAAATCCATTTGCAGCACCAAAAAACTACACAAAAAACATGATTATTCTAAGCATTACGCATCAACGGTGCTGATCTCAGCAATACAACCAATAACTGAAACAAATCAACTTGAAGCTTCATCAAGTTAGAGAAAGACGAGTATTTTAATTTAAACTTTGCGCAGAAATGGTATTAATTTATTGGCCTTTTTTTAATTAGGCGTTTCAAATGTAATTGTGAAGATCAATCTTAAAAAGCTCTATTAAATTCTAGAACTTTGTTAATTTTAGCTCCAGGAAGAGAAGTTAATAATTTTCACAATTTTCGAATTTCCCCTGACAACCGTGAGCCAAGTAAATGATTGCAATAAAACATTCAACTACAATGAATTACACGCTCTAAATATTTTCCTTCTGACAGCCTACCAAACGAAAGTGTCTTGTAAGCGAAGCTCTTTGACTAACAGCAAAATATCCTCGCTCAATTTCACCGTAATTACCGCGCAGAAACTCTGTTGCCGACGTTAATTAAAACTGAAGTGAAAACATCACAAATTTAATCGCGACTCAGAGTGCACGTCACGGTGATGACAGGAGCCAGGATTTCTCTGATTAAATGTACCGTGCATTTAATTTGCAATACCGTGCTATAATAACAAGATCGTGCAGCGCTACTCACGGTACACGACATGACTTACGAGGTCACCAGTTATCCCATTTCCGAGGCCGCGAGCAATTCTACGTGGACTTGATGGAGCTGTAATGGTCTAGCGCTGCAGTGGGACTCTGCTAGATGACTGCTAGTTTCGCAGTCTATTTAAGCTATGATTTTCGCTTTAAATTCAATGTTTGCTCCTCATATCTGATGTTTGTATTAATCTATTACTTCGTTGAATGTTTTCTGCTGTTCTATGACACGACAGCATATTATTTTCCGATCGATGAATTGAAAATAGTAAAAAATTATCATAAACTATTTGGGGAAAATCATTTCAATACGATCTTCAATTCAATTTCAATCCTCATGGACGATGAGGGAAGCTCCGCAGTAAACTTTTGCCGAGAATATCGCGCTCATAAACTTCCCTATTCCGCAATTTGAGAAGCACGGACGCCATGAATTATTCATATAAGTCCCCACATCATTTCCTCCCTCGAGGCCACATCGTTTTCATTACTCAGCCTGCGCCTCTGGAATGACGAGTCTATTGGCATTTTAATGCTACGAGGCCTCCATTTCAGCGACCCATTCAGCTGTGTGATGAGGTCGACCTTTTGCGAGGTGCCGGTTACATTTTTGCTTTCACAGAGCGCTCTCCAATCAAATCATATAAAAATTATTCAAATTTTGCGCTAGATCATCTGGCGCTCAATTCCATGGAAAAATCTGGGTGTGTCAGGCATCAAAGCAGGGGCAAATCGCCGAAAATAGTCTACGGAGATTGAAATGGACATTTCAGTATCTTTTTAGTGCAAAGTTGCGTCCTGCTCTGGTAATTTGATGAGTTTTTTTTACTTCTATCGCATTATGTCAAAAATCCCTGACATTTTCGAGAGCAAAATCTCCAAACTGAAGAACATCGAGAAAGAAGCTTACGCTTCAAGTTAGCAGACGTTTGGCTCGAAAATTCGTTTTGATCCTAGGCTTCGTTGATGACCTGCGCTTAGTGTCAAACAAAGTATTATCAAATAGTGCAGCTAAAATTTACATTAAAAATTTACTGAACTTCTTGTACAAAGAATCTTTCCAAACGATGAAGAATGTCAGTCGATTTTCCTAGCTTCAAAAGAGACTTTTTACATATCTTCTTACATTTTAGTTAATTAAATTAATGCTTAGATCACAGATTTTAAATTCAAGGCGATATAGCAAAAATAAGCTATAGGATAAATTTTATTATTTGTTTGGAAAACTTTCTCATGGCATAAAAATTCACCGAGCTAAAATTTATTCGCAAAATTTCTATAGTCGCAGGATTTAGGAAAAACTTGCCTGTGTCGTCTCGTGATGAAGAGGAAAAGCTTTCTGACTGAACTGAGTGTTGCTGCTACACTGCACATCCATGGAAGAAATGTTACTACTTTTCACAGACATTTCACTGAGTGTTCTACAATTTCTCTCCATTTATAGGCAGATCGTTGCGGTATTTTCAGCACGCGTTCTTTCATTTCAGTAATCAAAGGATTTACCAATTCAGGAAGAAAAGACGAGAGTGGTTTTGGACGTGTATTTTCCAATAATAAAACATTACGTACTTCACGCGCCAGTCGAAGTCTCATATAGCCCACTTGTAAAAGAATATTCACTGCAGAAGAATGAAATATTTTGGAGTGTATGTCACGAAGTTTTATCAATTGGTGGTAATGGCAACAAGAAATTAATGTTAAATTTAGTTATTTATTAGAGGTGCGCGTGACGCCATCCAGTTGGTGAGTGACACGCATTAATTCTATGGTTGGTTGAAGAAATTCGTGCAGGTGCGTGACACGAAACATCAAAGTGCCTGGGAATATTGTTTTTGATATTAAAAAATTAAATGAATAGAAAATTCACTTCTGCTTACCCAATCACCTAAAAATAAAAACAAGAATGTTCTTGAACACAAATCTTATTTCCCGTAGGGAAATTATTACTATGTTTATATATTTTCATATAACATGTTAGAATGCTCACGTGGACGACGAGTATTTATTTAATTTTTTGTGAACATTATTTAATAGGTAAATATTATGATCGCAGAGTAAATCTACAATAAAGTGTCACAATATACAAAATATTATACGTGCTGACACAGATGGCAAAATAATGAACTAGAGTAATACAGAATACATTGAACTTTCATGTGGCCATATTGATATCCGACATTATTTTTGATAGGCTGAGCGTGCAGGAATAAAATGTCTACATTGTGTATTAGTCTTAAGAATTATTTCACTTTAAATGCGGACAGATTTTTTTATTTTATGAAATGGAATTGCATTAGTGGAATATGTTCAGCGAAAGCCGCTCATATATCGCTGGTGTATTTCAGAAATGACAGATTATTCTCTTAGCCACCGTTTTAAGGTGGGCCTCCTTATTTTGAGGCCATAATACATCAATATTTTTGTACAATTATTCGCTGCAAATTATTGGATGATAAATTAAATGCAGGACATTTTAGCATGCAGGATATTTTGGAACGACGCTGTAACGGACTCAAAAACTATTGAATACAACAAATTATAAACTATTTAATTTTAAATATAATAATTTGAATGATTAGATTTTAATATTTCGGTTTCTTAATCCCATAAATTTACCTATTACAATTTTTGCGCAAAGTGCCTTCAATGGTACCCTACCCTCTGGCCGCATCGAGTTTTCATGGAAAAACGCAGCTAACCGCAAGCACGCGGCACTCAAGTCATGAATAAATAAAGATATTTCAATACAGGGAAATTCACGGAAACTTCCTGTATTGTGTTTCTCGCCAAGCAGCCAGATGTTGTAGGAAAAGGACGGGGAGTATTTTTTATGAAAGGCAAGTTTTGTGTCCCGCCTAGTCAATTGCCACTATACATTAGACAAGTGAGCAGCGTGCTTTTGCTGTCGATGCGTACTTTTCTAACGGCCGTTCCTTTATCGCTACTCAATGACCGTACTCTATTCAGTATTCGTCCTTCAGGTTGGGGTCCTGATCGAAATCGACTGTGGCGTTCTTTTTACCACGTTTTTCTTAGCTCGCTTTCGTGTCTGTGATGATCAAATCTTGCAATCGATATTTCACCAACTTTTCCGCTAGCTAGCGCTCTGGAACTTTTAGGGAAGCTCAGCTCCCGATAACAATACAATAATCAATAATTTGTTGCACGTTTCCAGGCGTATAAACTCTAAAGGAACTCACAAGCAGGGGTTGGAACCTTTAATGCACGTCATCCTCGAGAGGATATTCGTGTTTAGACTGCGTATATCGATGATACGCTTCGTATCATCGATACGTACATCAAGTCAAATAAATTGGCTCGCAACAACGAGTTTCATGTGTAGCAACGGACTAAAAATGAGAAAATAAAATACTTAAAAACAAAAAAGTAGAAAATAAAATGTATAAAAAAAAATTTTAAAGACCACGTTTTTCATGTGGACTCAAAAGTAGAAAATAATTTTTCGGCAGCTACTGATCTCTGTTTGCTTTCATTCTCTTGGTCTTTTGTATTTCAGTTAAAATATTTTACATCTAAAACGAAAAACGTGGGGCAAACAGAGATCAGTAGCTGCCGAAAAATTATTTTCTACTTTTGAGTCCACATGAAAAACGTGGTCTTTAAAAATTTTTTTTATACATTTTATTTTATTGAGCATTCAAATCAGGAAGTTTCCGTTAACCTCCCTGTATTACCACATCATCGGGACACTCAATCTTAATCTCTGTAGTGAGTGATAATTCGAAGTCTTAAGAAAGTATATAAGCCGTTTTCTTCGTATTATTGCTACCTATTGTCGTAATGCTTGCTGCCTGCGCTCTGTATTTCCGTATTATTTGTGAAGTATTACCGTATTATTTCTTCCTGATCTATGATTGGCTGAAGAAATCCTGGTTCTGACCAATAAGAGGACGAGCTGAAATTTAATCAAGCACGAGTTCTGAAGAAAGTTCTCATAAGGCGCTGAACTTCCACGATATCAGGATAACTTGAAAACTGTTCAAATTTGTCGCTTCGAAGCGACTTGAGTTTGGGGTCCTGCCGACGAAAGCAGGTCTTTTTGGCAGACGTTTCGTCAAAGGATTCAACGTCGTAGGGGTTTTTTTTTCGGGAATGTTGTACTGACCATCAATGCACAGGTGCATTCTTAATTCGTTTTCACTGCTATTCGTACATGAATTCCCGATGACGAAAGATACTCTCTGGTGACAAATGGTAAGGACGAGTTACAAACTATATTTCACTATAAAATTAGAATGTATTCCATTGAGAAAACTTGGTTAGTAAATATTGACATTAACCACCTAACATATATTCGCATTAATGCATCCTACAGTCCAGTGCTATACTTCTTTGCACTTCAATTATAGCGTAAATGGATAAGGTGGTATAGATACGGTGCTTCTGAGACCCCATTGCGTGCTCCCACTACAATGGGTACATATTCAATTCAACATATACTAGATTTAACTAATTTAATTGTAGCTAATACATAAGAAAATATACACAGTTACGACAGATATTAATGACAAATGCAATTATGTATATCATCACTGTATTTAATGTGAAATTTATTCTGGGAAAATAAGTACAGTACATCGGATGATTCAACTCCGGCAGAGGAGCTGACTAAAAAAGTACGTAGCCTTAAAATAAAACTAAATCGTAGCTACAGAAAGTCCCACCAATATGGGTATTCTTGCGTATAATTCACACTCATACTCACTGAATTTCCGGTTACTTAAAACAGCTATAAATAACAAAAACATTATACAGATATGGGAACAACTGGACTTGTTTGACACAACCGATTCTCGAGACCAGAAGATTTCGGGCGCCGTCCGCAGCCTCGGAACTTTTCGACTGCCTGCGCTCAAGGACTTTTTCCTGTACCATGACTTGACGCGCGATCTGTTGTGAGTTATACGTTAAGATTTGTTCGAGTTCATTCAAGATATGTTGTGGAAACAAACATGGAATGAAATACGCATGTCATTCATGCATCGAATATTTATTTTGTTATAATCGACCTCCACCTTTATTAATTCAATCTCAACCTCTTTTATACCTCCCGCCCTTTCTGGTTTGGGTGAGGGCGGGAACTGTAGAGAAAATTACCAAAGTATAAATGCGGTAATTTTTATATAAGTAGAACGAATTTTTGAGCCACCATTCTCACCAAGCGATAATCTTGTATTATCAATCTATATCTTTAGTCACCAATTTCACTATGCAATTAATATGTATAACACCGCACTGTATACCAGTCAATACACGCTAAACGCATAGGAATTGTTGAAGGAATATGTCGGACGTGTTGCTGGAGTGTTTACACCTCGACGGCACACGCAAGGTGCTGGTGTGTCGCCAGAGTGACGTGTAGGTCGGACGTGTTGCTGGCGTATTTACACCTCGACGGCACACGCTAGCTGCTGGTGTGTCGCCAGAGTGACGTGTAGGTCGGACGTGTTGCTGGAGTGTTTACACCTCGACGGCACACGCTAGCTGCTGGTGTGTCGCCAGAGTGACGTGTAGGTCGGACGTGTTGCTGGAATGTTTACACCTCGACGGCACACGCAAGGTGCTGGTGTGTCACCAGAGTGACGTGTAGGTCGGACGTGTTGCTGGTGTGTTTACACCTCGACGGCACACGCAAGGTGCTGGTGTGTCGCCAGAGTGACGTGTAGGTCGGACGTGTTGCTGGGGTTGGGGGGATCTTCGGGGGATGACGTGTGGGACACGTGAGGGCATGTGTGGGGGGAAGGCTTGGACCCTCTCAACAGGAGGAACAGGAGGCACACGTAGAACAGCAGCACGCTCTGTAAAACAGGAGGTATAACAACAGCAGCACGCTCTGTAAAACAGGAGGTATAACAACAGCAGCACGCTCTGTAAAACAGGAGGAATAACAACAGCAGCTCGCTCTGTAAAAGAGGTGGTATAACAACAGCAGCAGCACGCTCTGTAAAACAGGAGGTATAACAACAGCAGCACGCTCTGTAAAACAGGAGGTATAACAACAGCAGCACGCTCTGTAAAACGTGCTGAGCCAGAGATTACCTACGGCGCTTTTTTAGAAATGAGGCATCAGCTGGAAATGATTCAACTCCAGATGCAGGAGCTGCTGGGCCAGGGGCGCCAGGCAGAGTCTGTCTCTTATACACATCTAGATGTGTATAAGAGACAGCTGGCATACANCTAGACGAGGGTAACTAGACGAGGGTAACTAGACGAGGGTAACTAGACGAGGGTAACTAGACGAGGGTAACTAGACGAGGGTAACTCTGTCTCTTATACACATCTAGATGTGTATAAGAGACAGGTCCTAAACTCATCATAAGGTCATAAGGTAAGGAGGTATAACAACAGCAGCACGCTCTGTAAAACAGGAGGTATAACAACAGCAGCAGCACGCTCTGTAAAACAGGAGGTATAACAGCAGCAGCACGCTCTGTAAAACAGGAGGTATAACAGCAGCAGGCTCACCGTTATACAAGTAAGTCACGCGCATGTGAAAGGCAAAGTTGAAAAATAGAATAAATAAAGAGTTCATTAAAACAAAATAATGCGGAAAAATACTTAAACTTAATGAAGATTATCTTGATAGTTTATTTGCTCCGTACGGCAAAGCCTGTGTTTTATATATCCTTAATTTAGTTGCAGAACTGCAGCGTAAAGAAGATCATTTATTCTTATGAAGAAGAAATTTTTATTGCTAACAGTTACTTCATTTCATGTTCATCTGTAAGAATATTTACCAGGAAATATGTAGGGCTGTAATTTATTGCTGGTTCAGTGTAAATATTTTATTAAATATAAAAAATATGAGAGCTTCGACTTCTTTCACCGTTAAATATATTCTTATTTATTAATTTTAAATTTAAACTTGAAATTAGTAACTATTATGTATAATGTAGAAATAATATTTAGTTCTGCAAGAGAACGTTGAAAGTTAATCACCTGAAATTAAAGAGAAATATAACTCAGTGTAAACTTAGTAGAGCGCTATTCTCATGCCATAAAGTGTTGAAGCCATGTTGAATTTGAAGCATTTTTGAGCAATAAAATCAACTAAATAAGAATGAATTATGAATTATGAAGTCATAATAAGAATTATGACTTGTTGGGAGAAGCTTTTTCCGTAAAGCATAAGTTAAGCAGGAGCTCATTAGCTTCGCAGGACGTAGCTAATTAAAGCCGATGATTTTTGTTATGGTGTAGCAAGTTAATTGCTTGTTAACGCAAAGGTTAATGCGATCAGGGAATTTAGCAAGACAACACCAATCAAAGAGAAGCGGGAATATTGGAATAACAATGATTAGCATGAAATATGATGCCTACAATTATGATGAATGTATACTGCTGCGTATAAAATACCGCGCGAATAATGATGCTTCAGGTGATCATAGAACATTAACCATCAGATGCTCTTAAATAATTGAAGTTACAACAAATACTGCTGAAATTATACAGCTATAAATGATGGCTGATAGACGTGGTCTAGCGCATGGCTAGTGACTGGCTAGTGCGATGCTAACAAACCGAACGCGAACTGTATTAATTTCTTAATAATAAGTGTTGTGTAAATTTCTCTCTGTTGTCTTGAATAGAATTTCAGCAGTCGCTATTCCCACACTAGGAAGAACATTTCGTGTAAACATCTAACCATGTTCTTGATAACCAAGATTTACTTTGTCTGGAACGTTATGAACCATTAACGGGGATCTCAAGGACCCTTATTATCCCTGTAACCCTTGATGCAAGAGTTCATGTAAACTTTATGTCGGATATACCGAAGACAAATACAAATTAACGTCACTGAATTACAGAATAATAACAAATGGGAAATTTGATTCTATTGGAAATCAACATTGACAAGGCAGGAATTAGATCAAGCTGTAAAATAACTCTGTTTCTTCCTGTCTAGTGAATAGAGTTTATTTGAATATCGAAGTTTATTTCTGAAGATTGATTTTTTTTATTTCAAAATTGATTATTTTATTCCAATATTGAATATTGTCACTTGACAATCGATTTAGAGTGAAAAACATTCGTTTTATGATTGTTGAACCTCTTCTACACTATAAATATAATATGCATCGCTTTATTATGCTAATTTTAGACAGACACGGCATATAATTGTTAGGAAGGCACCCCACATACCAGTAAGTTTAACTGATAAACCGAAACCGTATTGTTTAATTGTTAGGTAGGCATCCCACATTGTTAACCGTAATAATAATAACCGTTGTTAACCGTAACCGTTAAGTTTAACTGTTAAGTAGGCACCCCACATACCGTAAAGTTTAACTGTTAAGCAAGCACCCCACATACCGTAAAGTTTAACTGTTAAGCAGGCACCCCACATACCGTAAAATTTAACTGTTAAGCAGGCACCCCACATAACGTAAAGTTTAACTGTTAAGTAGGCACCCCACATACCGTAAAGTTTAATTGTTAAGCAGGCACCCCACATACCTGTCTCTTATACACATCTAGATGTGTATAAGAGACAGGTTTAACTGTTAAGCAGGCACCCCACATACCGTAAAGTTTAACTGTTAAGTAGGCACCCCACATACCGTGACGTATATGGCGGCGCCCACGTTCTGGGGCTCCCCTGAGAAGGGGGACGACAGCTGCCCGCCGCCCACCCCGCCCTCACACCGCCCCCGCGACATACGACCCCTGTACATGCAAAAATAATTACAACTTTCAATATAAACAAATAATTAAACTATTATATTAAAATTTTTATATTAGATAGCCGTCAGGGCCGACGGGCGATTCAATGACATTATAAAAGAAGAACTTCAGACTTGTGCTGCTAAGTTGTACGAATTTTTTATTCGAATTTTAGTCTTGCGCTATTTATATTCCTATAAAAAAAATTAAAGGCAATATTTACTCGTAGTACGGCCGACACTAACGACAGGCGAGCATATACACATTTATGAAAAAAAAAAAGTTTGTTGCGTTGGCTCGAGTATGGCGATTTTATATGAATAATGAAGTTTGTGGCATGTATATTGGTCTATTTTATAGCCAATATATATGCACAATAAATGTTAAAATATTTTTAAACATTTTTGATGATTAGAAATCAACGAAATTCAGCAGAGTCCCGCAGCCAATTAGCCCCTGTAATCCAACATAAAATTGATCTAGTAATCAATGTGATCCCGCAGAGTTCTAATGCAAATTAATCCCTGTAATGTAAACGCCTGCAGGGCTAATGGTCTGGAGCCCCCCCTCCCCTCCCCGCCTCACAGGTCCACGCCAATGGAAACATTTGATTTTTGTCAGACACAGATTTTTGTCACATTTTATTCCCCAAAATCCAGCAAGAATATTTAATGATCAGAGGGGTTTTATTGCGTTAGGGAACGCCTTTCAACATAATTGTTTCATTAATAGCCTAGTTACATGTGCTGTCATTTCGGCTTTTGAGTGAACTATAATGTCACCTCGTATAGACGCGCATTGTACCTTGTCATTGCTATGTGATCCACCACAGAGGTTATCACTTGCATTGTTTATCGTGTGTTAATCTTCGTGGTTTTTAGTGGTTGTTTTCATAGGTAATATTGAATATTATAATATATCTATGTGTGCTATTTTCATTCGTTTGTGTTAGATTAATAAAAGTCCTTAATTTGGGTTTATTTGTGCGTTTTCAGCGGAGCTCCGAAGACTGAATCTGAATCTTTAATTCGAAAGTAGAACATGAGCTGAGACAACGTACGATTCATTTATATTTTGTTCTCTTGTATTAATCGTTTATTTAATATTATAATTTTCTCATCATTTTATTCATCCTATATTTGCTACTATACCCACAAGAACTGTGAAAAAGTGGAGTGCAGGAATGGCATCGAGGCTTGCACTGTCTGTTTGCAGACATGAAGTGCTCTCATTAGACATTGAAGGCGACCTGAGCTCTCATTAGCCATCGAAGGCGGCCTGAGTTCTCATTAGCCATCGAAGGCGGCCTGAGTTCTCATTAGATCTCATTAGACATCGAAGGCGGCCTGGGCTCTCATTAGACATTGAAGGCGACCTGAGCTCTCATTAGTCATCGAAGGCGGCCTGAGCTCTCATTAGTAATCGAAGGCAGCCTGAGCTCTCATTAGTCATCGAAGGCGGGATGTGCTCTCATTAGTCATCGAAGGCGGGATGTGCTCTCATTAGTCATAGAAAGCGGCATGAGCTCACATTAGTCATCGAAGGCAGCCTGAGCTCTCATTAGACATCGAAGGTGGCCTGAGCTCTCATTAGACATTGCAGAGGGCCTGTGTTCTCATTAGATATTGGAGGCAACTTGAGCTCGCATTATATAATGGAGGCAGCCTCGTTTTCTCATTACAATTCGAAGGCGGTTTGTGCTCTCATTAGAAATTCCATGCAACCTGTGACCTTATTAGGCATTGTAGACATTTTTTGCTCGCATTAGACATTCTAGGCAGCCTGTGTTCTCATTATGCAAAAAGTCAGCCTATATTCTCTTTAGAAACTGTAGATAGTCTGCGTCGTCATTTGACACTGCAGGCCGTCTGCATCCTCATTAGAAAAGAAGGCAGTCGGCATTCTGATTGGACAATGTAAGTAGTCTGGGTCTGCGTCCTCATTAGACACTGCAGTCAGTCCACGGCCTCATTAAACACTGTAGACAGTCTGCGTACTCATCACCGCACGCAGTCTGCGTCCTCATTAGACACTTTAGGCAGTCTGCGTCCTCATTAGACACTTTAGGCAGTCTGCGTCCTCATTAGACACTTTAGGCAGTCTGCGTCCTCATTAGACACTCTAGGCAGTCTGCGTCCTCATTAGACACTCTAGGCAGTCTGCGTCCTCATTAGACACTGCAGGCAGTCTGCGCCCTCATTAGTGATCGAGACATCGCGTCAATGCCGTCAGAAACCAATTAGCTCTGTTAAGCTCCTCATTAAAAGCTCAGGATGCCCTCTCTGTCCGACTCTATAATCGTCGCTTCTTCTGCAGCTTCGACGACAGAACTTCAGCGCAAGCCAGAAGTGCACTGTCTCGGAAATTGATTTGGATTGAAATTATTTGATCAAAGTAAATACTGAAAACGTATGTATTGATTCATACAATAAGTAGAAAATGCGTGTTAATTCAAGAAATAATTAGAACATACGTGTTAATTAAACAAATAATTAGAACATGCGGGGTAATTCAACAAATAATTTAAATAAGCGTGTTAATTCAACAAATAGGCAGAACTTGCGCTTTAATTTAAAAAATAAGTAGAACATGCTTGTAAATTCTACAAATAATGAAAACATAGGTATTAATTCAACAAATAATTAGAACATGCGTATCAATTATACTGTATCCGTATTTAATTATATGGCTTATAGTACACAAGACAGTAACTGTTATGAAGTGAACTGAACTAATATATCCAGCAATAATAATTATTATTATTATTATTATTATTATTATTATTATTATTATTAATAATAACGTCCACTAACCCATGACTGCCACACAGCTGCTGCAGGGCCGCCTCTCCCACCAATTCCATTGTGATCTGCTCTTGCTTTCAATGTTAGCTTTAATTTATATTAGGATTTTTACAATAATATTGTTAACCAAACACGAAAAAATCATGTTAATATTATTAGAAAGTATTTGTTTAACAGTTTTCAGTTTCAGTTAAGGTATTTGTCATTAGTTGATTACTAATTAATTATTTTGACTTTCGGGATATCGTTTGTAGATAATTTAATATTGATAAATGAAGTGATTTAAAACATTGGGCCTTCGTTTCTTCTTGATTCTAAATATATGGCATCTGTTGAGAAGAAAGAATTTATACCTGCAAATACACAGAAAAACGAAACCCATTTGTTCTTATACAGAATACATTATATTATATATTATTATTATAATAGCTGCAACAGCAATTGTTCTAACAATGATAGACAAGCGGCACTCATCGAACCCGCATGAGTTTAAATTTGCATACCTTTTAACCTTCCAAAGCGTAACAATGAAGAGAAACTATCACACTTCAAGTTTTATTGTCTTCATTATTCATCAGAAAACCTCATTTGAATTCTGAGGAAATTATTCATGGCCGAAGCCGGGATTTTCCGGTGACGCAAAACGCCTGAGCTGCCGCGACCATTAGTTCTCCTGTCACTGAGACGAGGGTAACTAGACGAGGGTAACTAGACGAGGGTAACTAGACGAGGGTAACTAGACGAGGGTAACTAGACGAGGGTAACTAGACGAGGGCAAACTCAGACAAAATCAATGAGTCATATTATCCGAATAGTGACGTGTAAATACTACTACTACAAGCACCACTGACACAAGGCCTTTTTGCCGCCAGTAACTTTGTCAAGATGGCTAGCGTACATAGCTTTTAGACAAAGTCTAACTCATTTAACTGAGTATAAGCAGACGAGCGTGACTAGACGAGGGTTACCAGAAGAGGCAGAGAAACGGCGTGCAGGCGCAGGCGTCTTCGTCTGAATAATTCGTGCTTCTAATTTCGCCTGCAATCAAATTTCCGAGGCGAGGCTCAGGCGAACGCGGGGTGGAGTGAGGCGTGTGTGTGGTAAATCAACGCAGGAAAATGAATGAGTCTTTTTGTCCAAAAAATGACACATTTCCTTTCACTACAAAAATTTAATCGACCCTTCGATAATATATTTTAATATATATTATAATATATAAGTAGTGATACTTTCGTACTCATGACATGAGCAGAGGGAATGAGTATCACTGATACACATTTTTGCAGGCCAAAATAAGTCAAAATGACTCAACTCACGCAAAAAGTACATCGCCTATTAGGACAAAGTCTCTCTCATTTCTCTCAGTGTTGAAATTCATAACACTGGCCCTGAATATTGCATGACATGGTAGACGCTAGGGAATTATAGAAGCCCAAATTAATTGACGGCTCGATGATGGATTCATCAAAAGATAACAACAATAATAACTCGGGTCAGAAATGAACTTTGTTAAAAATAATGTTTAAAAAGGGTTAGCTCCTGATGCTGAATGCTGAGTGAAAAGATTAATTAAAATATACGTGGCTTTGGGCTATGCAATAAAAAATATACATTTAATATACAAAATATAATAAAATATACATATAATATGCAAAATAGAATAAAATATACATATGATATACAAAATAGAATAAAATATACATAAGATATACAAAATAGAATAAAATATACATATAATATGCAAAATAGCATTAAATATACGTATAATATACAAAATACAATAGAATATACATGGCTATACATCATTATAGACCGCTTACGAACTCTAACATTTATAGGATACACTGAGATAAATGAGCGGGGCTTTGTTGAAATAGCGATGCAGTTTTGCCCTTATGTGGGTCATCTTAACCCAGTTTGCTCCCAACATTTCTAGGTCCGCTCTCTGCTCGTGCTGTGGGTGCGTCACTATTTAGACAACACCACCCATTCACTTTTTAGCGCATTTTCTCATTTATGGAAAAAATGCACTATTGTGCTCGCCATGTCCGTCTGTCTGTCCGTCTGTCCGTCCGTCCGTCCGTCCGTGACCTCAGGTTTTCGTCGACGAGAAAATGCGCTCTCTGTCACTCACTGCAGTGAGTACTGAGTTATATTTTTTGTGTGTAAGGTTGGCATTCGGAGTTCATTTGAAGCCTAGCGCCGCTTGCTTACTTATATTCAGAGGATTTGACTGAAAAATTTTTAAGCTGGATTTTCAGACGACGGAAGTTTGTCGAACTTTAACTTCCTTGTCGACGAAAGTTTTAATTCGCAAGAATCAATCTTGAAGCCTCAATCGAAAACTGCCGTAAATTTCAAACTTTTCGATTAGCATTCGAAGTTCACGAGGGATTGCAAGTTTAACAAATTTATTTACTTCTATAAATTTGTATTTTCTTTCACTAAAATTTAAGATCTTACAAAAACACATTTTTTATTTTATTGAGAAATGTGATCATAAAATTTCTCGAAGAAGATTTTTTGGCTCACATGTAGGTATAGTCTCACAAATCGCTTAAAACACCGTATGTAATTATACAATTTTGTTGATCCCAATTGCTAGTTGATAAAAATGTAACTTAGAAAGTGAAAGGATCGACCTTCAAATTACTGAAGGATTAAAATGTTTCCATGACCTCGTAAAAAATCTTCACTTTTGCCTCCTGCAGTTAACTCTCGCGGCGCCGGCGGCGCTAGCTAAATAATCAATCACTTCCTGGATGATCGGAAAATGCAGTCAATGTGCTGGGATTTATATATTTTAATTGTAGACACAGGTACAAGAAGAAAACTAATGCAAAAATAGGCCTCACAAAGCTTTTTTATGCCATGCCTATTTTCTATATCTGAATTAATATGTGACTACCGTATATATATTACGGTACGGTATATATCACTATCTACCGTATATATTATATTATATATTACTATATGATATTAAATATATTATTAATATGATGTATATTCGAGGCTCGGGCATTAGCCGGACAGGATTAGTAACATTACTGGACAGGGGTTAGAAACCCGGTCAAAACTGCGTCCGGTTTAATTAAAACGGACGCAACATAAATGAACTACAAGACCAGACATTTTCAAAAACGCCTGCCTTGTTAGGTTAGGCCCCTTTCACACAGGGCAGTAGATACTGCCGCGTCAAAAATGCCGCGGCAGTATTTACTGCGCAATCTTTCACACGAGGCGCTTTTTACTGCTGGGATCTATCAGTCTTGCAGTGCTTTATATAGCAGTGCTGTTTATTATGCACCTAAAATACGGCCCCACTGTCTGCTGGGATCTGGCGTCAAAAAACCGCCCAGTGTGAAAGATTACATTGAAAACCATTGCAAGCTAAACTGCGCGACAAATCTACTGCCACAGTTTTAGCAGGACAGACGCGGGCGTCAGGCGTCAAATTCTACGCCGCAGTAAAAGCAGTCGTGTGTGAACAGCAGTGCACATTTCGTATGTCCGCTAAGGTTCGGCAGTAAATACTGTCGGACGCTGGCAGTATTTACTGCCCTGTGTGAAAGGGGCCTTAGGGTTAGAGTTAGGGTTAGGTTAGGTATATACAACACTTCTTTACGTTTCTAGACACCTTTCTACAGGGGTTGGGCCAAACCAGGTCAATTTTTCGCCTCTTTTTCCATTTTAAAAAAGTTCTCGGGAAAAAATAAAAAGTGTAACTTATTATATATATTGTTATACACATTCAAAATATATAATAAATTGTTCTTAGTCTCAATCCACAACCATTCGGCCAGCAAAGTACGGGTTATTTCTCAAGCCACTCATGAAAATATGTTCAATATTATATTCGGAATTTCGGAATTTTTTTTTTTTTGGGGGGGGGGGAATTTTCATATCTTTCTGTTAATTTCGTTTTCTCGGTAAATTCTGTGATATCTCCTGACCACAATTGACATCCCAGTTTACGGGAAACAGAGGGCAGTCGCAGTTCATTAATGTTTAAGATTAGAAATTTCATTCACACTTTAATTTTGGCTACATCTGCTGGGATAGCAGACCGCTCATTGTTTACTACTAGGTGCGTTCATTTTTTACTTGTGTACTTCATTGATCACATATTTATTTGTTAAAAGCAAACCAAATGACCTAATGTATGTATTTATTTTTCTATGATTTTGTGCAGATATCCTGAATAATGGCAACTTGTTTCTTTCTTCTATATTAAATCAAAGCAACGAATCACGCATTAAATTATATTAAACGTTCTATATCACTTAAGGCTCTGCTAAGAGGGGGAGACTAGTTCTGAATCGACCTAAGCGTAGCGTCTTTTGAAGGAGCCGTTCCACTGAGATATTATTTTTTGGTTTATTTCATGGACCGTGTTACAATTAGCGTAGATTACTTATTCAATTAATTCATAGGAATATGGAATTCAGTCGCTCATTTCCTAAAGCTTTCAGCGGTTTGACGCCTTTAGATAAGTGGCGGCTTTCGAGTCTCTAGGAAAGTTGCGGCTTTAAAGTCTCTAGGAAAGTGGCGGCTTTAATGTCTCTAGGAAAGTGGCGGCTTTAATGTCTCTAGGAAAGTGGCGGCTTCAATGTCTCTAGGAAAGTGGCGGCTTTAATGCTCTAGAAGAGCGGAGGCTTAACTAATATCAAGAGGCCAGCAACGGACGAGCAGGCACCAGAAACTTGCAGAGCAAATTTGTGTTTAAACAACGAACAGCGGCAGCTGAGGGGGGGAGGGGCACCGAAAAGGGACATGAGGGCATAGAAAGGGGAGAAGAGGGGCATGGATAAGGGACAAGAGGGCATAGAAAGGGGAAAAAGAGGGGCCTGAAAGGGTAAAAGGGGGCATGGAGAGGGAAGAAAGAGGGGCATGAAAGAAGGGAAGAGGGGCATGCAGGGGGATGTATTCATTAAGGGAAGGGAGGCGAGAACGAGGTTCATAATGGTGGAAAGAGGACATGCAGTGATGACAAGAGGGCATGTAAAGGGGAGAAAGATGGCATGGAAGGGAAAGGGGGGCATGTAGGGGCTGAGGCGACTAAAAAATAAACGAAATATGGGTGTCGAATGGATGGTGAGAAGAGTATGAAATGTTGTGCAAAGACGGGCATGGAAAGGGTGGGAAAATGGGCATGGAAAAAAGTTAAAATAGGCGTAGGGAGGGGAGGAGAATAGGGAAAGAGAATAGGAGGG